CTGGTCTTAAATAATGTTTTTCTGGGGTCATTGGCTCCATTGAAAAAGGCATCTCCATCCATAGGAGCAGGCTAGTGTCTTGATTGCTCAGGTGAACAATGGTGAGGTAGATGGTAGAAATGACAATTTTTTATAAAATCTTTCTAAGTATTTTCTATCTGAGTCATGTTCTCATTTGAACTATCAGAAACTAAGAAATGATTGTATCTGTGGAGGATCCTACCTATAGGTATCAGCACTCTGACTGTGGGGCTCTATCTGAGGAATCGGCTAGGGGTCATGACCGCATGACCACTCTAGGTGCAGTTGAGAGCCTTTCACAAGAGTGCCATGCTGGAAAATCAGCCCCCTGGGAAAAGGCAGCTAGGGAGCCAGGGCATGACACAGAGGGTTGCAAACAGACCAAAATCCCAGCACTCACTGAGTGGTTGCTGTAAACTCTGAAGCCGTTTACCTAGCCTAGTACCTAATTTTATCTTTACAACACCCTATATATCAGCTACTATATTAGTCTGCTAATGTCACTAATGTCATAAAAGTAACATGGAACAGATCATCTCAAAATAGAGTAGTTTACAAAAACAAGCATTTACTTGCTCACGCATCTGCAAGTCATCTAGCATTTGGCTGATCTAGCTGGGCTCAGCTGGGCGCCTACAACACGGTAAGTTCAGGTGTTCCCCAGTGTCTCGTATTCTTCTGGGACCTGCGGGACACTCAGGGCATGTGCTTCTAATGGTGATGGTGGAAGTGCGAGATGGCACACCCAGCCTCACGAGCATGTCTCTTTCAGGTCTCACGTACCCTAACATTCTCTTGTCTAAACAAGTCCAGTGGCCAAGCCCAAGGTCGAGAGTCAAGGATGTACACTCTGCCCACCAGGAGACCATGTCAGAGACGTGGACATGTAATATTACTACAGGGGCATGAAGATCAGGATTAAGAACTAGATCCAGCACAGGTGCTATCATTATATTCATCTTAAAGATGAGGACACCAGCAGGGGTTAGAAGACTTGCCCAGAGTCCCTGTAATGTTAAGCAGAGATGCTGACATTTAAACCCAAGAGACCAGCTGCAGACCCTAAGTTCTTATGCAGGGTAGCTCAACAGGAACGAGGCAAATGCTCAGGTGGGCCAGGAAAGACACATGAAAGGTCTCAGACACAGAGTAAGAAAAGGCCAGGGGAAGGAGCAGGCCAGGATCAGCCTAAGAGGAACCCCACCCATTTTGATCTCAAGTCTCCCCCAGATTCTTTATCCACAGGCTTATAGAGTGCTCCTGTTCTTGGCTATAAATTGGCAAATTTACACCCCCAAATAGAAAAGTTAGTCTTAAAATCTTTTCAAAATTCCACCAATTATCCAAAAGTTTATTCTTTTCATATTTTTTCTATTGTTTCAAGTTGTCTGCGACGAGTAAAACAAAAGTACAGCTTTAAATAAATAAATATATAAAGTTTAAAAATATAACTGTAGTATTTCTCCACTGTTTGAGAAATGGTTCATGGGAAGTTTTTCTGTTAGGATTTGAATATGTTTATATATTTGTAGTTCACGGAATTCCAAAGGTTTTTCCCTTTACAATTATTAAGTTTTGAGAATTTTATTAGAACCTAAAAATCTACTCTATTTACATATCTAGGACAGGAATAGATTTCAAGTGCTTCAAAAACTATTTTCTATATATTGTAATCAATTTTGTGTGCAATAGACAAAAATGTAATAAAATCAATATAACTCATTTTTTAATTTTAATAACTACATTAAATAAGTACTTACAATAAAAATAAGGTAAGTATAGTTCAGACTGATGAGGAGAGGTTTTTATGTCTTAAAATTTTAATATTTTTATTTTCTACTACACAAAATAGTTCTAATTTAGGCAATATGTCTTAAAACTCAGTGAAATACAGTCTTCTATCAATTGGTTTCTTTTTTAAAGATTTTATTTATTTATTTATTTATTTATTTATTGAGAGAGAGAGAAAGCGCAAGAGCAAGCATGGGTGGGGGGTAGAGGGAGAAGCAGACTCCCCACTGAGCAGGGAGCCCGACGGTGGGGTGGGTGGGTGGTGGGCCTTGATCCCAGGACCCTGAGATCATGACCTGACCCAAAGGCAGACGCTTAACCACTTAACCAACTGAGCCACCCAGGCACCCCTATCAATCAGTTTCTTATTGTTGACCAAATCAAATCATAATAGGCTAACAGATTATGAAACAGTAATTCAAAGAAAATACCATCGAAGGAGAAATGATGATCTTGTTTTAACCCCAGAATAGATCAAATTGTAATTGCTTAATATGTAGGTGATGCAACACTGGTACTTTCATAGAAACAAAAAGAATTCTTATGACTAATGTCATTGCACAATTGATCTGTCCACCCTGGTTCCCTGTGAAACTCATTTCTTTTAGGTGCAGATAATTGTACACACAAATTATACCTTTGTTTTCCAAAATCTTGAAATATAACTGTGGTAAAACTTCTGGCCATATTATTAAAATAAATTTACTGTCTAAAAATGGGACCTCTTGTTTGATTATTGGATATGAAACTTTAAAACTAGCCTATGGCATATATTTCACATCTTACATGCAATTATTAGAAAGTAAGAGAGAGTTGCATCAATCATTTAACTCAGAAATTTAGGAAAGCAAAATTAAAATGGACCCTGATGAGGAGAAAAAAGCAAAAAGAAAATTAAAAGTTGGAAATAAAAGTTTCAGAATGTAAAAATAGAAATAAAAAAATCTAGTTTGGATAGCAAATAAAATTATTAGAATATACGAATAAATCTAAGGAAAATGTTCAAGACCTTTATAGAGAACATTCTGATTAAATATGAAATAAAAGAAGACTTCAGTACTGCTGAGCTCTGCCATATTCATGGATGGGGAGACTCAGTTATGAAGCTCTCTTTCTCCCCCAAATCACTGTATTATTGTTGTGCTGATCAAAATCCCCAGGGGATTTTTTTTTTTTAAACATAACTGCTTCTTGGGCACCTGGGTGGGTCAGTTGGTTAAGCGACTGCCTTTGGCTCAGGTCATGATCCTGGAGTCCCAGGATCGAGTCCCACATCGGGCTCCCTGCTCAGCGGGGAGTCTGCTTCTCCTTCTGACCCTCCCCCCTCTCATGCTCTCTCTCTCTCTCTCTCTCTCTCTCTCTCTCTCTCTCATTCTCTCTCAAATAAATAAAAATCTTAAAAAAAAAACATAACTGCTTCTTAAATTCTTAAATGTGCAAAAACAGCCAACACAAGTTCGTGAAGAAAAGCAAAGAAGGAAGACAGGCTCCACCATCTACCATCTACCAAAACAAAATATAAACCTATAGAAATTAGAATGGATGTCTTTGGATAGCGGTATTATGGATGATTGCTTTTTTCTTGTTTGTATTTTAAAAGTGACCCTCCTCTGAAAAGAAAATATACAGTTGACCCTTGAATAATGCTCGTCGTGGCTGCATGGGTCTACTTCTACAAGGATTTTTCACAGTATGGTACTGTAAATGTATTTTCTCTTTCTTATGATTTTCTTAATAATATTATCTTGTTTCTAGCTTACTTTTGCAAGAATACAGTATATGGCACATGTAACATACACAGTGTGTGTTAGTCAACTGTTTATGTTATCAGTAGAGCTTCCAGTCAACAGCAGGCTATTAGTTAGTTACATTTTGGGGGAGTCCAAAGTTTTATGTGGATTTTTGGCTTCTGGGGGTGGGTGCACCAACCCCTGCCTTGTCCTAGGGTCAGCTGTATAAAATAAACATATCTAGTTACTGCAGGAACAAAGCAGAGGTAGGAGAGGAACTGGGAGACACTTGAGGTGATTTTAAAACACACTTAGAAACATCAGCAGGGCTGACAAGTGGCCGCACTAGGACATGATTCTGCAAACTGAGTATGCGATTCTCTATCTAGGCACTGAGGTCACATTTCTGCAAGTTACCTAGTAATGTTTGCATCATCACAGCCTGTACTGCCAGATGCAGAGATAGATGCCTACGTTTGCTATCAGTGGATCCCAGTGTTACCATTTGCACACAAACAAAATCTTGCTAAATTGTGTTGGTTATAATAAATGCAAATGCAATCCACTTTACCAAGAAGCCAATCCTTTTTAAAAATTTTGTTTTTTAATGTTAATTTGAATGTCAGGGTCCTTTTTGCGAAGCATAGAACCAGTGCCATAAAAGTGGGATATTTTCTTTTCTGCCACTTTGCGGTGGAGAACCGAGCACCTGCCGGAACACTGTCATTTTCCAGCGGGCTCCAGGGACAACAGGCTCATTATCCAAGGCAATCTGCTTTATCTTCTTTTCTTGGGAGATGAGTGCTGACCAAGGGATTACTGGATTGTCTCCCTTAGTTGAGGCTATCAGGTTTTGTGGTGGGCCAGCAGAGTTTTGAAGTGAATGTGAGCTTTGGAGACAGACACACAGATAGGTAGTTTCAGTCCCTCTCCTGTTGCTTCTGAGCTCTGTGCGTACACCCACAAACTGAAGTCATCCAGTTCCCTTGTAGGTGTAAAGATCTAATGTTAGTGTATCAAGCTCTTGGTGCTTCATTTAAAAACCAAAAGTGAGTAAATTTTTAAAATAGTATTGGGGGGTGTAAGTAATTCAAAATTCCTGTAAGGTCTTTTTTCTTTTCCTTTCTTTTCTTTCTTTCTTTCTTTCTCTTTCTTTCTTTCTTTCTCTTTCTTTCTTTCTTTCTTTCTTTCTTTCTTTCTTTCTTTCTTTCTTTCTTTCTTTCTTTTCTTCTTCTTTTTCTTCTTCTTCTTCTTCTTCTTCTTCTTCTTCTTCTTCTTCTTCTT